TCAAGACAAACTCTCCATGCAAAGATAGGGAGCAAATACATTAGCAGGGTTGCCGTGTTTTCAGTTTTGGAGTCCCCAAATAAAGTGGCAGCCCTGTCAATGTATTTGCTCCCTATCTTCGCATGGAGAGTTTGTTTTGATATAGAGGTGGACTTTCAGGATAGCGTGGGATTTCCCCTTCATTTTGGCCTCAACTTGAGAGCTTTTTTTGAGCTTGGGAGTTGGTTTTAGAGAAAAGAAGTGGCACCATCGTGTTTCTCGCGAACTTTAACTTAAGAATCAATAGTCAACTTGAAAATTGCGCACACATGCAAAATCTCCATTGGGAGAGTTGAAATATTTTTCTCCCATTTTCAGGTCAATTTTGTTCGGAATCAGCTCTAGAATTTTTTCGAGGAGTGTAAGCCGACGGAAAACGAATCCATAGTAGCGTATTTTGAGCCCCTATTTCAACACGCGTCGCCGAAGGCAATCAGATGGCGTGCCATCTTAGCTCAATGGTCAATGATGAGCTTGGCTAGTTTTTCTACCCTGGCGTTTAAGTCTCCTAATATGCGAAACACTAGATGTCGTTGTAGAGAACCTTTATTAAAGCATGTGCCGATTTCATTCCTTAATGAGATCCATTTGGACATACTTCCTTTTAGAATGAGTTTTTCAAATTCTCACTCAATTTCAGTTTCGAAATTCAATCAATGCCAGGACTCTGAGAATACCGGACAAGAACAAAACGCTTCTCTGGCGCGGCGCACAGTGGATCGAGTCAATTAGAGAGGTCAGACATAAATCTGTTTACCAAATTTTAATATTTATTTCATCACATCATAAATTTCAAGGGCTGCTTATAGCAGACAATTTCTCGAGGAAACCAATGGAACCACTTTTAAAACCTCGAAGTTTTGTATAAACGGAGTTAAAAGCGTTAAAAGTTGACGACCTCTCCTATTGACTCGATCCACTGCGCGGCGTCCGAAAATATCCCTCCTCCCCGGGTCATGCCTTTAATTGAGTGGTGCAACAACCGCGATCTATGGTCTGTTATCAGTGCACTAGGGATCTAGAAGTAAAAAAAACTTTAATTTTGCAGGGTTTATAAAAAGTCCCGCGCCACTAGCATCAGGCATCACCCTCGTAACTTTTGAAAAAATTGAGATAGAGACTCAAAATTTTGTAAGCGCTCCTGGGTCAGAGGAAATGCCTTTTGGGAACACCCAAAATCTTAAATGAACCACTCTGAAAGGGGGCAAGAACTTCTGGTTCAAAGGATGGTGCGGTACTTTTGGATCACCCTGTTTATCCCTAGAATGCACAACTTCACGGATTATGGATCGCGGTAGAGGATCGAACGGTTGAGCGTTTTTTTCCCCGAGCATTTTTTGAAGTTGACTAGTGGGCGTTCTTTTATTTCGGGCGGAATTTTAGTTATGCGAATCGTGATTTACGATTAAGAAACATATATTAGAATGCTTAGATTCGTACATTGTTTACTGGACCATTATGAATGGGCAGCAGATTGCCTAACCCATCGACTTATGGTGGGAGACTTAAACGCTGAAATAGAAAGATCAACCAGATTGAATTCGTGCCATGTCTACCGGTCTGTTGTTAATACCCGCAGCTAAAAACTGGTGTACACACTTTAAATTGCGTACAGCCGATTCTTTTACTTTTTTTTCTTTTTTTTTTAAAAAAAAAAAATATTTCATTTTGTAATAAGAGGAATTATATAGAATCAATTTTGATCTAGAGGACTACCAATTGTCATTTCTTACAGTACCGAGGTTTTTGGTGTATACCTAAAGATGAATGTTTGTGTCTGCTTCTCACGTATATTAAAATGCATTATAAAATCCTAAAAATGTTTTACTGATAAGATCAAAAGCCGGGCGGAAGAGAGTAGGTCTTTTAAAAACACGGAACGGCACCTACGCAATACTGAGGATCTTTGAGCTCTTGCTCAACTTCCAACCTCCTAATTCTCAGACGTTTATCATTTATAAGTGACCGTGATATCCGAGATTGCACGATATTTCACTGTAAATGTTTTTTTGTGCTGAGAAATAATGGATATCACGTATATTTTGACAACCAATGCCAGCTTGCCGTGCTCTCGACGCTCGAACGGCCAGGCGCATCAGTCCAAACGTTTTTGTCCCTCGGCTGACAGAAGAGCGTAAATGCACTTTGAGATGAGCGTTGAAGAGCATTAAATAACATGGATGACAGGGTTCATTGCCAAGTGTAGTTACATCCTTATGTCAGAAGGGCGGGCATAAATGATCGAGTATCGATATTTCTCCATTTGAAGCTATAGTAAAGAATCGATTATTAAGGTCTTCGTTACGAACGCCCTCTTTATCGATTCTTTTCCATAGATTTAAATGACATATCAATCGCTTTATTGCAAGGCACGCCACGCCATTGGTGACGATTTGCTAGATGAGGGCTCTTGTGGGTTCTACCTACCGGACGCCGCTCTGAATAAACTTTCAAAAATTGTCTCAGTGTCTCAGGAGATCGCTTGAATTGCATGGTAAATAAAGGCCGCGTCCTCATGATTGTTTGGATAGTTTCGAGTAGAAATGTACCCTTTCCAAAAAAATACCTCTGTGTACCCTCATATTATATTTACTCGTTGGAATTATGACCTTTTTATATTATGTTGAAACTTTACTTCGTGAGACCAGTTTTTACGGCTGCAGTGATTTATTACCATACTGTGAGAAATAAAGATTGACGTTTTCGAAAATAAAAAAAAAAAAAATATGAACACAAATTCCTCCTAAACCTAACGGCACACGTTTATTAAGGGTGCATTTCACCATGTGATTTTAGATGGAATTAGGTTATGCATGCATGCCGTTGAAAACATACATATAACCAATCCCGGTGCATTTACTAGTCGGTTACTAGTAGCTAAAAAATCGCAGTAATTTGCAAGTAACAGATGGAAGAAGTAATTTTGAGAGCCCCATAAATTTGACAGCGGTGTAAATATTCAAATTCAGTCAGTTTCACAACTTTCTGAGTTATAAAAATTTACCAGTTGGCAGCATTTTTTATGAGGTCATTACTTTCTAGGATCCGCAGTATTCTGAATGCCTGAGCAGATTCAACCCTGACCACGGAGAACTTCGACGTTTAATTGAAAATTCGGGTTTTCATACCCAGTCATCCTTCAAAGATATTCAAATTTTCGTCCGTATTAAGCTATGTTGCCAAGTAGTGTGCGAATATGTCAATTCTTCTTTTTGAAAACCCGTCGTCACGAACCGAGTCAGTAAATCACGAACATGAAGCGAGACATGATGATGAGCTGCATTGACTCCTCTCGGAATAATCTTTACCATTAACACAGTTCTTTAAAGGAAGGAGGAAAAAGATTATAAAACGAGACGACGGTATTTGCCGCGGTGAGCTCACAGGAATTTTTGAAGGCGACGACGATATATTTTGTGAAGTCTAAGAACCCTCTACGGCATGCATAAATTTTGGGTCTCGGATTGTGGGGGACACAAATCTATGACAGTGAATTGAACTTTTTTAGCCAACGTGCGTTAATAATCAGCATAAAGCCGAAAATCTCAATGCAGAGCGAAAAAGATCATATGAGCACAATGTTACCTCAAAGAGAGAAAACACACGCTATTTGGTGCAACATTAGTAACGACCAAATGTTGCACCAAACAGCGTATCTCTCGGAGGGAAAATTGTGCTGGTGTGAGTCCTTTCTCTCTGTTCGGCTTTATGCTGATTTTTGACGCACGCTGCCTAAAAAAATTCAAACTCACTGTCTTACGACCAGTGCGTCAGTGCAATCAGTTTGTGACGAATCTATGCTGTAGCTTTTGCAAAAAGAATCCCAATATTTTAGATTCTATTACCTCTGTAAAAATGTAAAAAAAAAGAAGAAAAAAGGAAACTTAAGATGACGAAGAAAAACTAAGTTTTAAAATTTAGCATAGGGTCGCGTCTGATATGATGTCAATGCTATGACGCGTTAAATCAGTCCCGAGATTCATCGGATGAAAAATCATGGATCTATCTTTATCTTTTAAACTGAGTTAAGCATTTATGACATAATCATCTTAATGCCCACCATCTCGTTTTTTTTTTCTGAGAACAGTAATAACTTTTTAAAAATGTTGTAATTAGTTATATGTAAAATTTCCCATCTTTGAGTTAAAATGCACACCTTCATGGACCTTACAAATGAGTGGAGCTTAACAAGTTTGCTACTGAGCTAGCTGTATTGGAAGAACTAACTAAAGTACGGTGGGTGGTGTGAGGTAACAAAATTCCCTTAATATATTCAGGCGCTAAATGGTCATGAATTTATGAATGACGCGTAGGGCAGTCTTTTGGACGAAGAAACAGAGGCTCTTTGTGAATATACTGAGGCAAGTGGACGTCTTGGACGTACTTTAAATGAAAAATGAAGGTGTGAACTTCAGAAAATGATGTCTAATCAGTGAGGTTTCAAGTTAAAGCAAAATTGTCACGAGATGTGATTGAGTTAAGCAAATGATCCCTAGAATGGAAACTCAAACCGACCAGAATAGGGAAGAGAGCGACGAAGGGCGAAGGGTCATAAATATAGACTTTCAGTTTCTAATGATTCACGCTTTTTATCTTAAGAACACTGTGAAACTATATTTAATTCGCGATTTTTCTCCCTTTAATTATGAGACACTCCACGGAAAAAAAGAGGTAGGGGTTAAGTCCAACTGTTGGATGATATGGACATTCCCAATTAATTGTGGTAATACCCCGATTAATAGTGGTAATATCTCAATCAATTGCGGTAGTATCCCGATATATTAGGTTACTAACCCAAATGTTGCAGTGCTACCCCAATTTGAGTTGCGGTGCTACCAAAATTAATTGGAAATGTCCATATCATCCAACAAATTCGGGTGTAGTGGAACAATTTTGGGAGATAACCCCTCATGCGATTCGAACTTGGGAAAAATTCCGTGGAAGAATCTGAGCACACTCACAGTGGTTTGTTTGTAGGGCTCGATCTCGTTGGTTTCTTGGCGTCGGTAGCGGTCCCAGCGACTGCGGAATGTCCTCTGGACGTTGAGAATCCCTTTGAGGAGGATGTTGTTTATGCTCGTGAACGGCACCAGCCGGTTATCCCTTTGGGCACTTGAAACTTGGACGCAAGACGCGACACCTAGCGCGACGCACGCCGCCGCCGCCACTGACGCGAACCCGCGCATCTCCACGGATCTGACTGATGCAACCGCACCGACTTTTCGCGCCAAAATAACCGCATCCACCCGGTCACCGCACCGCTCCGTCGTCCCCACCTTATCCAGTCGGACGCTGCGTCGCGCGTCGGCCGCCACCGTCGCGACGCTTCGTCCTGCGATTGTTTAGACGGTTTAGTCCCATTCATCATATCGCACTCTGTGACGTGAAACAGCGAGGTTCTTTACAGTAGCGCTGTTTTCCTTATAATCGCTCTGAACTTACGGACCTTCGCACATTTTGTAAAACAGAGAGCGCTCTCTGAGGCCCACTTCGTGGACCCTATGATGAATGGGCTCCACCAATTTACCAATTACCAATGGAGATGTTGCATGTGTGAGGAATTTGCGATTTGACTGTTGATTTTTACGTAAAAGTTCGCAAGAAACACGATGGTGCCACTAATTTTCTCTGAAATCAACTCCCAAGCTCAAAAAGAGCTCTCATGTTGAGGCCAAAATAGAGGGGATAACCCACGCTATCCTGAGAGTCCACCTCTACATCAAGACAAACTCTCCATGTAAGGATAGGGAGCAAATACATTAGCAGGGTTGCCGTGTTTTCAGTTTTAGAGTCCTCAAATAAAGTGGCAGGCCTGTCAATGTATTTGCTTCTTGTCTTTGCATGGAGAGTTTGTCTTGATGTAGTGGTGGACTCTCAGGATAGCGTGGGATATCCCCTCCATTTTGGCCTTAACTTAGCCTAGCTATGGCGAATACTAGAGAACTATTATCTCTGAGCCAATCTGATGAGGGCAAGTCATCAATCTAGCAGACTATACTGTAATTCCTAACAGAATCAAATCCTGCATTATTCATCCTCCACACCAAGATCAATATGCAAAAGCAATAAAAATCGAAGAGACCTTTAAAAAAGTCTGTAAAAGTTTCAGGTGGTCCCGCAATGGGCAGGCATTTGGTTTGTGAATTGCATTTACTTCTCAGCCTCAGCAAAGCAAGGCTACCGCGCCATTTCGCTTTCAAGATACGCATTCCGGCTGCGTTGGTTACCAAATTTTCTTCATAGTCAAATTCATGAGTTTCCATGAAATCCTGGGGCCTAAATTAAAAACGTGTATTTTGACAAAAAGTGTTCTATTATTCTGTTCACCGCCATCCGTGGAAGATACCGGCGTCCTCAGGCTTGCGTGGCGGTGCTGCGTTTAAGTATTCGCCTCGTGAACTTTTGCGAATCTGATTAACAATGCATCAAGTGTATTTGGTCCGTCGATGTAGAATCTTTGCGTGTAGACATTCCTCTCTTCCCATACATACGCTAATTAAGGCATCGACCTCAGTTTCATTGTCAAATCTGTGCTTTTTAAGTCATTTTTACACTTTGAAAGGTTATGGGATTATTAGAAGTCTCAGTTTGACCCTCGTTGTGCTAAAAGAGGATGAGTCACGGAAGAGTTCGCGTGTTTCAGTCCGGGACTGTTGTATCAGCGTCTCTAAAAAAATGAAGCAGAAGAATTGTTCATTATTGCATATGAAGGTTTTTAAACGTGTGCAATAATTTCATTGAATTTTTTTTTTTTCATTTTATTTCAACCATAATGCTGTGAGTAAAGTTTTTTTCTTCGTAAAATAAATAGAGAAGATAGTAAAAGAAAGAATTGAGGATTGAATAGAGGTGAAAAAAGAGAGAAAGACAAATAATGCAATATAGTATAAAACATGACATTGAAGACAATTTTCTCAGGAATGAGTTTTCAAAGCAAAAAGCTTCGATAGGTTTCAAAAATGTTCCCTACGAAATAAATGACGTTCACAAGCAACTTGCCGCAGAAAACTTTTTCTAAAAAAAGACTGCACAAGAATATAATGGAACAAGGTGGTAAAATAGTGCTAGGTCTACGCTGGTTTATGGGGAAAGCAAGGCCAAAGAAATTCAAAAATGTCAATTAGAGTTAAAAATTTGTGCAAAAAAAAATAGTACACACACAAGATCGAGGGGGAAAGTATTCAGCTCAGATAGATGCATTGGAGTACTGAGTTGGAGTCACGCCAAGAGATCTGTAAAGTTTTACGTCTTTTCAGACCTCGTCAATATATCACACTCGCCAGTGAGCCCAGCTCAGCTCCTGAAAAATCCAAGACGGCTTCGCAATTTCATAAAATGTTTGACTTTAATCGTAATTTGCATATTTTTTGGCCTCGCCTCCCTTGAAAAATTGTGTGGACCCAGCACTATTTTACTACCTTGTTACATACATTCGGGCCATATTTTTAGTGCGCATTTTTGCAAGAACAATCTATCAACATCAATATTTTTTTTTAAAAAAAGAACTCATTTTCAAGTTGAGCACGTTTCTAGTTTCATGTTGGGTCCGTCAGCTATCCGCGGATAGTCGCCGAAGATGAGGGCAGGGTTCTCGAAACACTTACAACGTAAAAATCATCGTGCGAGTTAGTTTTTTAAAATTTTTAAAAAATATTGAGCTTTCCAACCAGCTTGCCTTCAAAAATTGAGCAGGCAATTTGAGCGGCTTAGGAGCAGTAATAGTTGCTTGCTGTAGTTTAGCCGTGTGCAAAACGTTCATTCCGTTTCTGTACCATTTTTTCATCGTTTAGAGTGCACAGTTTCTTATATGCTTTGCCCGTCTCATACCGGAATCAACTTTTCTCTCCAAAGGAAGCAGGCACACGAGGAAAGTTGACAAATTTCCGGATGAATACCTCTCATACAATTAAAAAATTCCAGAGACAGCTTGGGATTACTCGCTCGACGCGATAACAATGTGAAATGACGGCCAGCGCACGCTGAGAACCCTGCGGCGATGTGGGCATCCACATGTGGCATTTCTTGCGATTCTGCTCTAGAGCTCCTTCAAGGTAGCATGGGATATTTTAAATAGATATAAGCGAAACTGGCAACGTTTTCACGGGCACCTGAAGCAGGGCCTTGACTCGACCGATTAAATTAGGTGACCCGTTGCCTTAATAATACTGAACCGTTGACGCCCGTATCCAGTGAGATGAAAAACTGCCAAACTTCCGGTAACTGCATCCGGGCGGAAACCGGATGATCCGAAATAATAACATTCGGAATCGGAAGACAGCATCTCAAGTGCGGCTCACTCGCGAGGAAGTCTGCGTACTTCGTTTACGCCGAATTGTTGCTGGATTCTACCGATTATGACGTGCTCTTTTCTAAATTGAAGCAAGCACACCACACCCGCACTCATTTCAGTAGTAGTTATATTCTACCGTCCGTAGCTCTGCATATCGATGGCCAAGGAACAATACCGACTATCTGCAAACTAACAATTTTGCAGGATGAAGAGAAAACTTCGCCGTTTATGCAGATAATTAACATTTGTGCAGTTTAAATTCCTATATAAATTAAATTTTAAAATTTGAGCTAAAATGTCGTTACTAATGCTTAATCATAATTAACTGCGTACTTTGACATGTGCCATAGTTCCTATCATAGGGCTCTTTTGTACATATCTAACATAAATAAATAAATAAAAATATTTGTAGAATACTCTTCTGTTCTGTGGTATAAGGACCTCAATTTTGAAGTCTCCAAGACCAAAGATTTTTTCCCCGTGGATGTTCAAATCATTCTTTAATTAACAGACAACACTCATCTGTATGAAATCATCATGCAACAATTTGTAATACTAAATATATCATTTTAAATTTCAATCGCAATTTTCCGCTTCTTACTGAGCCTGAATCGATACTAGTCTCTAGGCCTCGAGAGACGATTTATCTTTAGTAGGGTGATCTTTACTTCAATTCGAAAAAAAATGTCAGAAAAGCCCGAGGTCAATAACTCCTGGCAATACGTCATCTGAGTTGCGTGTATGAAATTGGGTATAGAGGAAATCGAGTCGAGCTTACGCGCTGGCTGAGGCAATGTGCGTTTATCAGCACGGGAATGGATCAGGGTGGGGGGCCGGGGGGGGGGGGGGGGGGGGGGGAGAACAATGACGGAAAAAGATAATGCGGGAGGAAGTGAAGAGTGCTAAACTATGACGTAGCGCCGGGGCTCCTCTTAATTGAATGGGACATTCCTCGCGTAAAATAATAACAGCTCATTACGATGAGGTCAGATTCTCACTCTCGGCAGGCAAGGGTAATTTTCATGCTAGCGGCCGCGACCACTGCCACCATTTTGGGCTGTTATTTTCATGATTTATTCGCGGGACTGTACCAGAAAATCCATTTTTTTCCTCGCGAGAGTGGCAGCGCTGGATACGATCATCGGCAAATGTCATTCATAAGTTCGTGCCACGGCCCATGCTCTCCGACGGTCGTGCTAAGGAAAAACGCCGTATGGTCATTCGAGAGTTGCCATTTGCTCAGATAAAACATGTAATTTGTTGAAAAGTTTTGCATATTTTCCTTAAAATACTCAGATATTCTAGAAATATTTGCGTACAAAATCGTTTAAAAATTTTAAAGAAAAATATCTACATTTTTTCTAGTAAATCGGTTTCTTTCGAAGGAGATATGACAACGTCGGAAGGCTCATACGGCGTTCTTCCTTAGCGCGGCAGCATAGCTTACTGCCTATACCATGCGTTATACCGCGGAATGGTGGTTATGATTGACATGTTTCGGGACAAAAAGTACTGTAATGAAGATTGTACGATTTGCAGTTTTCAGTCATAAAAACTAATTTTGGAGAAATAGGTATTTTCAACACTGCCACTGCCGTATCAACACTGTCGCTGCATGCTCTTAGTTTTTCAATAGATTGATGACGAGAAACAAATTTCTTATCACTCTCACGGTCGTAATATCCCGCGCCATTAACTTTTAGTTTTACTCAGACGTCTGAGCTCAGTTGTCATTATTGTTTTACTACTTTTATTTGAGAAAGTGATAGTGATGCATGGAGGTCTGAAAATGGTGTTACTGCATTTCCAAGTGGAAAATTGAGGAGATATTGACCAAGATCTTATTGTATACTGTTTGAGACTCCTACTGTGTGTGTGTGTGTGTGTGTGTGTGTGTGTGTGTACATCTCTTCATATTTTCGCGTGGAGTGTATTTCATATACTAATTGTCGAGCGGATGAAAGTTGGAGCTTATTCAATCGGCAAGTTTGGTTTTCCGGTAATGTGAAAATGAAAGGTTTTCATTATTCGTAAAATAAATTATTTTTCAAATGCAGGGAAGATAGTCGCGATCAGATGGCCTTTGCGACAATGATCTAGTCTTCGTCCTGAAAAGTTAGAAGGGAATTAAAAAAAAAAAAAAAAAAAAAAAAAAAAAAAAAAAAAAACCCGAACGAAGAGCCAAAAAAAGTCATAGAAACAAATAAGCAAAGCAACAAAAACAACTGAAAAACGAAAGCTGCTTACGTTAATTTTACGAATTATAACTTTTTTCTTACTTATCACTCATTCAACTTTCTGTTAGGCTTTCATTGGCATGCATTTTCTGAATTTTGAACTCTTCCAATTAGAATGCGATGGCTGAGATTTGATTAAAATTAAGCTACAGTGCATTATTTGATATTCATTTTTGCTCGCATAAATTGATTTTATTTGGATCAACAAATTTTAATCGTAAATCCTCTTACCAGTGAGAAAAAAATTTCTTCAAATCATTCAGCACATCCTTAGTGTATGCAGATTTAAAAGCTCGTCCCGCTTTAACTCTATTTAAACCCCTCTTAGAATCTGCAGCTGCCTTCGAGATGCATTTGTTGAGGCATGTTTTACCATATCTGATGAACGTGTCCCTCGTTTGGGTTGTACCCTAGTAGCAGAGTTATATAAAAAATTTGTTTTTAAAAGTATAAACCGTAAATAACCACAAGCTAAAGAATATTCATTGTTTATGTAATGCACTCAAAAAAAAAACTACGGCCGTGGGACCCGGTTGCTCTGGACACTGGTGATCCCGGTGTTAACGCGCTGTTAGCCAGCTAGTACCGGACCCGATGGCCGATGGCCCGTGGAGCCCGCGCGGCCTTCATGGCCGTAAGACCGGATAGGAGCCGAGCGTAAGTTACGGGTTTCAGGATCGGAACCAACCGCTTCCACGGCCGTTGGCAGTGAGGTGAGATTCAGTTTTCGGAAAATGGCGTCACCATCAGATTAAAATTGAGACGGCTCCGTGTAAATTCGCAGAAAATTATAATATTTTACGTCAATGTTATTCAGTGCGTGAATTTAAAGTTGCCGCCAGCCTTGACAATATTCGGGAGCGATCGAGCCACCACTTAGCGTTGTTTATTGAGGTTAGAATCCAGTCACTAAATTGCTTGGTCATTGATGGTCATTGCTCATTCGTGTGTTCGTTTTTCGTTTAATTTTGGAGGTTTCCGATATATTTTCTTCGCTTGTCAAATACTTTCGGAAATGCGACGAGAGTTAAGTGAAAATTGTCAGTTTTGGTAGTACCTACGCACTGAGCTCATATCCTCTCCCCCTGTAAGTTCGTTTGCAATTCACATATTTTCCCCATACTAAGGGAAAGAACTTAAATTAAAGAAAAGCAATCAATTACCTGCCACATATCTTCCCACAGAGTAGGTAAATTAGCGCCACACTAAAATACTGATAATGTAGGCACGAGAATGTCCATTTATTGCTGACTGTAACATTCTATCATCACTTTTGCTTTGTTCTGCCTGTGTAAGAGGATACAGTTTTTATTCAATTTCGATCTAATCTCTAACTCATAGATGTTTTCAACTGTGAGTAGTATTGCAGTCTCTGACATCTTCCCTCTCTGTTACAAAAACAGCTGTTTGATAGCGGAAACTGTACAGATCCCATCCTGCGCAGATTATCTGATAGTGAGAGCAAGCTCGAACGTTGTTGCTGTGAATAATCTCTCTGATTCCATATCTTAATTCTAGGGAGCTCAGTGTTACTGTACTAGTGGTAAAATTTTGTGTGAATCGCGCTTCAGTTTGCTGAAGGGAAGATCTATAATTTTAACAAGTGTGACAATTTTCGGTGGTATATTTCTTCGCTAATATTTTGTGGAAATTGTATCCGGTAGTTATTGCGGAGAGTTATATCTTGAAGTTTTGTCAACTTTTACTACTGAATTTACACTTTGAAATATTCTCAACCTCATTTTCAAGATTCTGAAGCTCTTCTAGTCGTAAGGAGTAAAAATCTGTAAGTACCTAGACCTACGCCTGTGGTTTTACTTTGTTAATCATTTAGGTGATATCCTATTTTGCATTCGTATTTTTTATTGAGGGATGAACCAGGTTTTGTTTTTGACAAATGCTGAATTCTCATTGAGTGAAAGTAATTACATTTATTGAGAACGGGCTGCCAAGTAATAAAAATGATTTTTCAATTTACATTTTTCGCTGCAATGAGTTTTATAGCAATGTATCATACCTTGGGCAGTCTGTTCTACATTTAAAATAGGCAGCAAGAATTTTTGATCTATCTACATTTGTTCCTTCTAGTGCTTCCCCAGTGCTTTATTTATTTCTAGGAAGGCTTGCAACATTAAAGTTAGGTTTTTGAAAATTTCTCTTGATATCTCTACACGATGAATAAGCTAACATTCATATGCTGATTTTCTTTCTCAATACGCATCATCTCTTCTCTAATTTTCATCTCTTTTCTCAAATTGACTTGCTGAACTATCAGCCAAGGAGTTCAAATCCCTCTTGATATCTGAAACATGATCAACAAGCTAACGTTCATATGCTCTTTTTCTTTCTCAGTCAGTGAATTATTCATCACTTTCCTGAAACTAAATTGTTATGAACTATCAACAAAGAAATATGTACCTATTTTAAAAAGAAAGGAAGAAAAAGAAATCTTGTTCAGAAATTGACACAAGATAATTCATTCAAGGTTTAAAATTTTGCTGGAAAGTTTTTCTTTTCTATGTACTTTAAAGGTGAATTTTCAGCTGTAGTTCCGAAAAAATCCACCACGTCGCGGACAGCGGCGGCGCGCAGAGCTCCGGCCGTCCAGCCCGTAAGTAGCGCCGAGAGCGCAAGCTGCCTATGCCGCTCGAGGCCGCGACTTACGGTTTTCATATCCGTAGGACTCCGCGTCGTCCCCGCTCGTAGCACTCCGGTCGTCAGGGGCGTAGGCGAACGGTAGTGCCATATAGCCCATCCAGTCCGTGCTCCAGGTCCGTTGCTTCTGGCCTCCACGGCCGGAGCTTTTTTTGAGTGTGGATGTAAAGTTTTTTAGTTAAAAGTTTACTAAAAAACTTATTTTATTATGTAACCCTTAGTATAAAAGTTATATAACCAAATTCAAAGAGTGTATAAAATGAATTTTCATTATTCTTCCTGGCTGGTAGCGCACTCTAGTTATGAAGTGTGCAAGTTTTCATATGCGTTACTACCAGGTGGTGGATCATCGTAGAGTTGTGACTTACCTTAAATCCGCGCCGTCCTAGTCGGGATTAGAACCCACGCATCGGGATGGAGTTGCAATCCGAAGTCCAGTACTTTACCACCAGACCAGCCAGGCTTGATATGCATGGGCCCCTAAATTCAATCTCTTAACTATCGCAGGCCTCTGAGTCCGTAATATTTTGTTTATTGACGGATTCTTATGATATTTTACCAGACTTTATTATTTATTATTTATTTATTTATTGTTTTTTATTACATGATGTAATTTTTTCATTTTCATTTTTTTTAACTCTCTCTCATTTTTTAGCTCTCTCTTTTTTTTAACTATCATGATTTTTAACTATCATTTTTTCTAACTCTCTCTATTTTTTTTAACTCTCATTTTTTTAACTCTCTCTCTCTCTCTCTCTATTTTTTAACTTTATAATTGCGTCTTTTTCCAGTTTTAATTATTTGGGCCTTTTTCTAGTTTGAATTTATGTCGATGTATTTATGTTATTTATTTATTATTATTATCATTTCCTTTTTTCTTTTAAATTTTTATAATATTAATTTAAACATTTTAAAAAAATCAAAATTTTTAAAATAATATTTAATAATATTTTTAAAATATTAACAAAAATAATTATGATATACTTTAAAAACATTATAAAATATTATTTTAAAAATTTTAATTTTTTATATTTTTAATATATTTTTAAAATGTTTTAAAAATATTCATTGATTGTATTTCAAAAGTACTTTTGAAAATATTTTAAAAATACATGAAAAACATTTTAAAAATATATTAAATTTCAATATTTTTAAAAATATTGCTGTCTAACTGGGCAGGGTTATGAGCCAGACACGCTACCAACTGAGGTAACAGGGCTCCTCGGATTGTGTGCCGAGATATCCCCTTTTAACTCGTCTCGGAGCCATTAGTACCTCTAATAATACCTATCCCACGCAGTCTGAGAGTCGAGGGTGTTCATTGAAATGAGATCATCATCATCATTCATGAAAATGAGATAGGTTTACGTTAAAGTCATTCAGATCATTTATATAACAGTTATAATAAGCAAATTAAGCAAAAGGATACTATGCGTATAAAGAAAATTTATAAAAACCCTTCCTCAATTATATAAATTTTATATAAACGTTATTTTCTGAAAATATGAATAATTATTTTCATGGGCATTTTATATAAAACTTATATACACGATATATAAACTTTAGTTAAAATGGTGATTATATAACCGGTATTAATTCCTTATACGTTTGTTAGGAAGGGGAAAGTGAATCATGCTACTAGGGTAGAACTTTTGATGCAGCCTGTCGCTGCTGATCTGCCGTGCAATCGATCACAAATCGAGGAAAGGTTGAAAAAAGCCGATATCATTCCTCAGTTTTTCGACAGAGCACCAAAACATGTATTGGAGGTAATAAAGGTGTATGTTCGTGAGCTGTAAAACTTTTTTACCAGAGGATAATACAATGGACCACTAGACAAGGTACGGATTCAAGCAATCTGATACATGTTTCTTAACCAAAATTTCACGTAGAACACGATTCGCGCAACGAAAATTACTGAAACCAGCTCCTGATGAAGATATTAACCTTTTTATTTCACATTGGTCACGCGGATTTTGAACTGCCCGCTCACAAGAAACTCAAAGCTCTACGTGAGTCAAATCTCGCACCTCAACAGTTTCAGCTAGCCTCTCAATCGATCACTGTTCATTTACCACCATGTGTTGTTCAAATTACAAGCAATTTGCTATAGCTGAGCCCGCAAGCGTCAAAATTGAGGTTGCCAGATTTTCATATCGCAAAGACTGTCATGATAATTTTCAGCCTGCGATGTGAATCACGTAGAGCATTGAGTTTTAACGAGCGGGTGGTTTGAATTCACGCATCAGGAATCATTTAATATCATTGTAAGGAGTTAACTTCGGTAATTTTTGTTGTGCGCGTCGTGTTTTACGTGAAATTTTGATTAAAAAATATGTATCAGAATGCTTGAATTCGTACCTTGTCTAGTGGTCCATTACATTCATTTTCGGTTCTGACCAAAACCAGCGATCTTGTATTTCTCCTTTCCTTCGAAATTCGTCATATCCCTCACGAAAGAACGTAACTACATTTGGACTGCATTTTGCAATTTAGAACTATAAATTCTGGCTCTTATGGAAAAACACTTATGTGTATAGGGAAACTAATGGCACATACGTTGTTTTTGAACAGGGCTAGAATTTATAGTTCCAAATTGCAAAATCTAGTCCATTTTAACGTTGCTATTTTTGCCCATACGCAAATTGCATTTCACGCAGGAGCTGGGGTTTTTCACTGATTTCATCTGGTCTTAAGCAAAAATCAGAAAAAATTTGGACAAGAAATGAGCGGGTATACATTACAGCAAAAAATTGAACTTTTTGAGTAGAATTTGCAACCTTGGAACGGACTTACGTTCCTTCGTTCGGGAGGTGATGAATTGAGATTGTGACGGACCATTACTCAGCAGATTTAAGCCTCTCATCTTAATTCTTGTACATTGTACGTGTATCAAATCGGTAAAATAATTTTATTTAAAGTATTGAAATTCGAATTGGCAGGTCAGTTTTTCGTGGTTTTTTACCAGTTGCCACAATTGAGAACAGTAAGTTTTGATCCTCAGTGCTTCATTGTACGATTTTAATGCAATATTAAGTGCAATATTTTAAAGCAACAAAAATTAAATTCATAAAATTATCAAACTCCTCCAACTTTTGGCGGAATATGGATTTGGAGGCATTGCAATCGAGACGTCTTCTATCCATGTTAATAGACTACTCAATTCACTGTTAAGCAAAAACGTGATGTCTGTTTTTTATTTTTGCTTGACATATAACAACCTAACGGCGAGGGACCACAAATGTTTTCTAAATTATTTTCCAGATCGAATACAACGACAGGGTAGCTGTTGAGTTTGGAAATATTCTTGATTCTTCCGAGGTGAAACGAATGCCCGTTTTGATGAGATGGCCATCGAATTTCACAACTTTTTATACATTAATTATGACAGGTATACATTTCAATTATCTGGAAGTAATTTTATGGTGTTGGGAATACGTCCATACAGATTGAAATGAAGTACTTGAATGTTTTTAATTTTTGGTAATATGATACGCTTTGAAAGGAGGAAGCTAATCCAAAACTTTTACTTTATAAGTATCTTTCACAAATCGATACAATTATTTTTTTCTTTGCGGATCTTCAGATAATTGTCTTTCTAGACAGTGAGGGTATAGTAGTTATTTTTGGTCACTGCCAACTAGGGTGTATCATCGCACACGGCTCAGGCAAACATAGTGAGTTATGTCGCATGTTACGCAATATGATACGCTTTGAAAGGAGGAAGCTAATCCAAAACTTTTACTTTATAAGTATCTTTCACAAATCGATACAATTATTTTTTTTCTTTGCGGATCTTCAGATAATTGTCTTTCTAGACAGTGAGGGTATAGTAGTTATTTTTGGTCACTGCCAACTAGGGTGTATCATCGCACACAGCTCAGGCAAACATAGTGAGTTATGTCGCATGTTACGCAACGTTGCCCCGAGACAGATTTTATGTCTATCCTTTTCCCACTCATTTCTTCTGTCTCCATTTTTGTTATTCTTCATGTCAAGCATTCCAGGCCTTCAGTCTATGACATGAATTGATACGAATATCTAATATTTTTACATATTAAAACGACAATTTAGTGATAAATTTTGAACTTATGTTGAAAGTACAAGTTGATTTAAGTTTTTATCAGTTTTGATTTGGTGATGTTCATGAGGTTTGGTTGAAAGATAATACATTGAAATGCATACACGATGTAATTTTTTTGCTCTCACTATAGCAAAGGCCAATATATGTTAAAATAAAACGGGAATCATATCATTTCAACGATAAAGTCAACTTTTATTTGTTTTCTAGATCTTGATTCTGATGTGAGCCGACGGCCAAGTAAATACAACGAGTGGCAGCACTGGGTTGTCGGGAATATTCCTGGACACTTTCATCAGATGGGTGAGACATTGACACCCTATATGGGGGCGATGGCTCCCCATTGGCTAGAGTTTAAGAAAGGTACACGCGACTTTCAGTTTCATAGTACACACAGTATTTATCATGAAATCAAACGTAGATCGAAAAAAAAGGGTCAACCACGCAACAGTTGCGATTGAACTGCAACTGGAATAAGCGATTTCTATAATTTCTATATACATTCTTAGTGATTTAAGAGATATATCACTATGAAGGCTATTTCCATTTAAATATTCCGTCACATTCGTGCGGCGCAATGATACAACTATTTGAACTCTCCGGAATGCGTGAGGTATCACGCCGCATTTGAAGGCGTTTTCAAATCAGCCAAGTTCCGATACCCGGATTATCGTTTTGCATAGTTCATATTCTTTTGTTATATTCCGTGCCACTTGTTTAATTTTAATTCTCGTAGAAAAACCACCCATTTGTAAATACAATTCTAGCTGAAGCGCACGTAAGCGCATTCATGACTGCAAAAATATTAACGGAAATCGAAAAGGCCAGCGTGCATGAAGGCTATTTCAATTGTAATCTTCCGTCGCATTTCTAAGGCGCAATGATACAACTATTTGAACTCTCCGAAATGCGAGAGGTATCACGCCGCATTTGAAGGCGTTTTCAAAACAGCCAGGTTCCGTTATTGGAATAATCGTTTTGCATAGTTCCTATTACTTTGTTTCCATTTCTAACCACTTGTTTAATGGACCACTAGACAAGGCAAGAATTCAAGCATTCTGATACATGTTTCTTAATCAGAATTTCACGTAGAACACGATTCGCGCAATGAAAATTACTGAAATTAACTCCTGACGAAGATATTAACCTTTTTACTTCACATTGGTTACGCGGATTTTGAACTGCCCGCTGACAAGAAACTCAAAGCTCTACGTGAGTCAAATCGCGCACTACGGCACTACAACAGTTTCAGCAAGCCTCTCAAACAAGCACTGTTCATTTCCCACCATGTGTTGTTCAAATTATAAGCAATTTGCTATAGCTGAGCCAAAGCGTCAAAATTGTGGTTGCCAGATTTTCATATCGCAGAGACTGTCACGATAATATTCAACGCGCGATATGAATCACGTAGAGCATTGAGTTTTATTGAGCGGGTGGTTTGAATTGACGCATCAGGAATCATTAAATATCTTTGTAAGGAGTTGATTTCGGTAAGCGCATTCATGACTGCAAAAATGTAAACGGAAATCGAAAAGGCCAGCGTGCATGAAGGCTATTTCAATTGTGATCTTCCGTCGCATTTCTAAGGTGCAATGATACGACTATTTGAACTCTCCGGAATGCGTGAGGTATCACGCCGCATTTGAAGGCGTTTTCAAATCAGCCAAGTTCCGATACCCGGATTATCGTTTTGCATAGTTCATATTCTTTTGTTATATTCCGTGCCACTTGTTTACTTTTAATCCTCGTAAAAAAACCACCCGTTTGCTAAATACAATTCTAGCTGAAGCGCACTTCAGCTATGCATTCACCACTGCAAAAATGTCAAAGGAAATCGACAAGCCCAGCGTGCATGAAGGCAGGCCCCCCACAAGGGTGGGATACTGGGTCCCTGTTACCGGGGCCCGGGGCCCGGAGGGGGCCCGTGTCACCCATGAAAAACCACTACGAATTCTCATGCAACCCTTGTTTCGTAAGAAAAAGTGAAAAATTTATCCTACAAATTTTGCAAAAGGTAAATAGATTTTCAGAAACACGCTGGGGCACTGTAGAATTCTTCTTAAATTTTCAAAGAAGTATACTTCCTGGAAAATTTCTATCTTTTTTCAAGATGAAAAGCTTTCTCTTTTTTTAATATTTCTCCTTTTGTCTCACTCACTGGAAAAAAAACACATTGGATCTATAGAGTCCAGGCTCTTAAAAACATCGACAAGAAAAAGTACTCTTGATTTAAACTTGATTCAATCAGAATCTAGCTTAAATCAAGAACCAAGCTTTTTAATTTAAGCAAAAATCCGATTGAATCAAGAGTATTTTTTCTTGTCAATGTTTTCATGAGTCTGGACTCTAGATCCAATGTGTTTTTTTTTTCCAGTGCTGCTTGGTTCTTAATATACAAACGTTTAGATTTTCCATTTATTATAAATCTTTGATTTTAGGTCATCACAGATTCGTATTCTCTGTTTATATGCAAAAGAAGGGGAAAATATACTTCACTGCACCTCGTCTTCCTGCATTGTAAGTATTAAACAATTTCACTCTTGCGTAGATTAATGTACCCTTAACTACACATTATTTCAATTACTTGCCTATCTTAAAAAAATGATGTTCTCAATATAATTTTAGGTTCGATACACGACGAACAAATTTCTCGACTCGCCATTTTGCGGAGGAGTACGAGTTGGGACAACCAGTGGCGATCAATTATTTCTTAGTTCAACCTAGAGAGCCAACTGCACGGCCGAGAAGGTGGAAACAACAATTATTATAGAATGCTTGCTGCAATTTAAAAATCAAAATCCAAGGGATTATTTCAATCTATGATTTAAATTTTTACATCTGGACAAATATTCATTCGTTCAGCCGTAAGGATTCAACCAAAAAATATGTTCACAATGTGTCAGAATAAAATTAATGAAACCCTAGTAACACCAATCCATAAAACTGAAGTATTCATTTTTGATTTTTTCACACAGAGTGTCAGTTCATGGAGACTGAGGTATATCGCGACTCTGTAACTTCAATTCTACTTCACTTTTTAGACATATTATGTGTGCCTATAGAGTGTGTAGAGCGCTAATTACTTGGCGTCAGTGTTTCATTACTGGAAAAATTATGGGCACATAAAAATAGCGATTTGTTTCATTGGTAAATTTATAATTTTTATTTATATCATTTACAAACAATTTTACTTGCAATTGTGTCAATTGGACCATTAATTAACTATTCAAAGACAAGGTCCTCTGACGTAGGTCTCGGGAGTAGTGGCTAATGTGCGAAAACGTAGTTTAGTTTTTTATTTTTAAATGTTAGAATAACCTTAAAAGACTTAAAATTTGAGTGATTCTTTTCCGTAGTTTATTTCATTGTTTTTAATTTTTTATTTACAAATAAGACTACAGATTAGTAAATATTTTTTTAGTGAAATGTACAGTATAAGACAGAACAACCAATATGGATTTTGTTCTGCATTGTCATAACGTAGATCTCAACTTATGAACAGAGGCACTGAAAAGCAAATTATGAAGATTTGAAGAGTTGCATGCATATTGGTAGTTTATGTATATAGTGTACCAACCTCAGAGTGAATAAACCGTTAAAAAAGATCCTCTATGATGTTATTGAATTCCCGGATTTTGACCTTGCAACTTACTGGAGTGGTTAGAGGTGATAAATGTTATGAACTTATACTATCTTCTCCTACTTTTTGAAGTACTCAAATATTACGTGACGCACTCATAAGAGAGTTATTATTTCGTCTTTAAAATCAAAAAATTTTCAGAAGAGTCCGTCATTCGAGCACGATTTCCGACTCTGATTTCGCCTTCAATTCACGAGGATGCAAGACGCTTCACAAAACAAAAAACAAAGCGACGCGCGACGTACACTATATTTAAACTCAAGTATTGTCAATCAAATTGGTATCAATTGAATAATGTAAATCGAGTCTTGTTCTATTTTTTCAATCGAATTAGTATTGATCGAAATAATCATGTCTTGAATTGTTGATCAATTTTCGTCGATCAAATCGATACTCTTTTGGATAACCAGCTGAAATGCCTCAGTTTTTCCAGAAGAAAATTCAACTGCAAAAATCGTAAAAAACACTCTGAGAGAATTGATGGTCTGGTCATTGCTACTTAGCTTTCAGCTGAATTTTGAAATGCATTAAGGATAGAGGAATTGCGTTCTATTTCTCTCTTTTACTTTATTATGTCTATCTTTCAACCATCTCAACCGGTAAAAACCGGTTGAGATGGCGTGCATCACAATTATTCAGGACCTTGCACGAATAGCAAACTATAACTGGAAACCGCATTGTGAGAAAAACACATTTAAAGTTGTTTATACGATAAATTACGCCGACTGTGTTTTGCAGGTACCCTGTTTTTGTGTTTTTGGGTGCCCCAATCCTTTTGTTGAAGGATGCTAGGTTGATGTTGCGATATTTTTTCGGTTTTCACAGTAATATACTTAATTTAAAAAATCAGTTTCGATACTCGCGAACCAAGAACAACGTTATCGAGTTGATGAACGCATGAAAGGCCATCACGTGTATAGGCTGTTATTCCACCCATTGCTCCAATGAGGCCTGACTTAACTTGGAAAAAACGGTTTTTGACCTCCAGCCGCTACCTAACTTTGCTTTACCTATACCACGGTATAGTTCAGATTACGGTGAATCCGAAAAGCCGATGGGGGCAATAACGACCTATACGCCTATAGGCCGTTATTAGTGCGGGGACCTCAATTGAATATTCCTTGTAGCAAATATTCAAAGTAAATAGCCACCGTGTCGACAATGCATTATATATGTTATTATTTTTCGGCGACGGGTCAGTTACAGCCTTTTTCTCCACGATTTTTTAACTTTGTCTAATATTAATTGAAAAGTCTTTAATAAGCGAATTGAAAAAATTTAAAAATATCCATTTTGTAAGTATAAATAAGTATGTCCTGTGTCCTGATTAAGATCAGTATTTTTCTATCCTTTCAAAAAAAGTGTACAGGAAAATACAAAATATAGGTACAATAACTAACGCTTACATTAAAATATAAAACTAACCAAACAGTTTATTGCTCGAGACATATTAGAAGGTATAGGACACGTTTCTACGTCACCAGTTCAGAAGATCAATTTCAGTGTACTCCTCTGTGGTCATAGGAATTACTGGGGGTTGTACTGGCGTTTCGCCCTCCTCTAATTCCTGCTCCTCCGGCCATGTTACCAAGAAATAATTCACGGCATGCGGTCGGCCTAGACTATACTTCTTGGCAAATTCTTTTGATGAAAATTTCGCTCTTCTCGGATCATTTGCCCTGTTGAGAGAAAATGCTATGAAAACATGTGCTTCTACTCAATTCCAGGGACAAAATTATTTCATTTTAATGCCTACAAACGTGAAATAGCGAAAGATCTCGTCTCCATTTCTTAAAATACAAAATTTAATGTAGAGCTAATTTTGCCATTTGAATGGTTTTAACTGACCGAACGGGCAATCAAAGACGCGCTCGCACGGGCACGTACCGTATATAGCGCCTTCAACATCGTAGAAATACTTCTAACGCTACACCTTCACGCATACAACCGATGCGCAAATTGCCTACACTGCGCCTATGGGAGTGAACTCGTGGAATATTCTGCACCCCTAGGCTGGGCAAAGTTTTGCGGAAAAAAAAAACTTTCAACTAAATTATTTCACTTGAATGGCTACAAATGTAAAATACTCAAAGATCTGGTGTGACAAGGTGTCAAAATATATATGTAAAAGCCGCTTTTATAGCGCTCTCTGGCGCTCTGCGACACCTAGCCGCCAAAGTCCCCTATCCTCCGGTAGCCCATCGGGAATTATCAATATAAAAAATTAAATGTAGAGCCAATTTTGAATGGTTTCAATTTTTTCAATCATTCAACTTTTTCTAACTGGCAATTTTTTTTTGATATCTTATTCAAGTAGATGATAATTTTACTTCTATGACAGTGATATGAAATATATGTGTCACCCGATGATGTTCAGACGATGTGTCCACTGTTTACCGTTATTATAAGATAACCACGTGACCGATAAATATTCAAAAACACAGTATGAAAGGTAAATTGGTAAAGAGGGAGAAAGAGAAGCAGGGGAGAGAGGGGGGGGGGTTGAGGTAAAGGAGAGGGTGATATCGGTATCAATCATTCCCGCCGTCATACAAAAATATCCAAAATTATTAAGAACTATGAAACAGTCAACTAATTTTTTTGTTTATCTATTTAAGGTGCAAAACCACACTTAGGCGTGCGTAAAAGATATCTCTCATATTTGTGCTTGAAATTGTCTGAAAGAAACTCCTGAAATACATTGTCATAGCTTCATTTTCCATACACCGCTGGTTTGATGCTAATCTTGTAAGAGTCGAACAGCCTGTTTTTGCATGGCTCTTTTTCCACAGAATATTTTGTGGTCATGAGAGATTTATACTTATTTTTTGTCTAGTATTTAATCGCACTAGAAAGTTTCAAAGGTTGTAGCATAGAGAAAATAAACGAAAAATATTTTACCTAGCGGTCAGATAGGTCTCTTCAAAGTGGATCTTTCCTTTTTCTTGCAGAAACAGTTGGAATACAAATCTATGAGTACCTGAAAAATGTAAAGGCGTATCGGTGATTGTTATCTTTGAGATCATCCAACTGAATTTACGAAATCTTTCATATCAATCATAGGCATTACGAGTCAAAAAAGAACAGATGTGGTTCCGTTCTACCTTTGGGAAACAAGTTGAGATATATTTGTGGTTTCAAAAGTATTGGTCTGCTTTTACGCATATTCATCGTTTAATGTGAGTCTCCAGCTGTACCTCTGAAAAAATCCACCACGTTGCGCTGCTAAAATTGGTCTTCGAAATCATAGTGATTATTTAACTATCACGATAAATACACTAAATTCTAAGACTCATGAGCTCTGGCAGGATATGTCTGGAATTTTTAAAAACAAACACGAACTTTGAAAGTTTAATAATAAAAACTAAAACTTGATCCCAGCTTCTTCTATGGGATGGCTGTAAGTGCGAGAGGGGGAGTTCACGGTGGGAGAGAGATAGCTGTAACTACTGAGAGAGATCGCTCGTTATTGGTTGCATCGAGGTCATTTTGCTTGATCCTACCTTTTTCTGGGATTGAGTTACAGAGCTTCAGAAATTACTTGTCATATATATCATCTTTTTTAGTGTCAAAAGGAAGAAGAATATCAGAGAACTTATGATTCTTCGATTTTAACAGATTTTCCTTTAATTTTCTCATAAGATCAAGGACTCACGTCAAGCTGTACGTACTCTAATGACGTGACCCTCAAAATCAAAACACGGACAAATTTCTCACTACGCGCTGCTGAAGATTCACCTTAATGTGCGTCCTCACAGTATAGTCACATACGAGAAAGAATAATTCTCAGATTTTCTAATTTAAAGGTCGAGAAAGGTTTTAAAACTGCATTTGCCTATTTATTTTTCATCATTCAATTACTACTGCATGCGAGCTAATCATCCATACCCTTAATTTTATAATCTACATTTAAATGAATATATCACTTCTACTAAATTCAAATTTCGGGTTTGATCATAGATGACATTGCCATCACGACTAGTTTTTCCGTCACCCATGAAACATTTGTTAAAAAGCTTACTTTTGTGCGTTCGATAATAACTCTTATCTAAACATATTTGTAACTAAAACCTTCTGATCCAGTTGCTCAATAGAATTTTTAAAAAATTAGATTCATGATTTCGAATGCAAGGTAAAATGCATGTATTTTGCTTACCGTTTCCGTGCATTGGAGTTGGTCCTATATACTCTGCTATCGTTTGTCCTGAATGCAACCTATTGTCAGGGATGTTCCCAACGATCCAATGCAACCATTCTCTGTTCACCGGGTTACTTCGCGATGGCGCATCAAGATCTGTATAATAATTGTACATAAGTAGTCTAATGAAATTCATAAAACGTATTTTAAGATTTTACTTCAAAGAAAAGTGTATTCGCTTCAAATCAGGATTTTATTACGTGAACTTACTAACCGACGTAGCAGTTAGTTTTACATCTTGACATAGCTAAAGTAACTGCTGTAGCGGTCAATTCAGCGTTTTGTGAGCTGTCACACACTTTTATACATCCAGAATGTTATATCAGCATCCTTTTTTTCCGGTGTTAAATTTTATCATTTATCTATGCGGGACGAATATACAAACTAAACCTGAAAACGTAGGGACTAAGATGAACGTCATACTTATATTTAAGCGCCCTCGGTGGTACAGGGGAAAATATATCTAGGAACTTCTGTGCTGCTCCTTACATTTGAGAGCGAGCAAAAAGCATTACATTGTTGCGCACTCCGAAACATCGCGGCGCTTCTTGTTACAGTTTTGCGCCATTCTACCAAGTGGCACGCGCCGATCATCGAGGAAATATAGAGCAACACATAAAAGAATTGCGAAGCGTAATTGACGTAATATACGCACACGTGCTTAAAGTATAGTATAATGGTTAATTTAGTACATACCGACAAAAATTATCGTGTAGAATGTGGCCTCATCTGGATTCTCGCATTTCCACGCTACTGTCTCTGGAGCGGCATGAGCTGTAGCCGCTTTCAAGGTATTACCATAACAAACGGCGCCATAACCATCTTCTTCATAAATTACCTAATATGAAGGAAACACAAACGCAGAAAGCTGCCACGATTTCTTTGAGAGAATTAAGAGAATCAACCAAATTAAACGAAAAGACATTGACGATGAAACAGCAAAAACCTCCAACTTGTTTGATAAGTTTCAAAATCTCTTTTCCCATTCCATCATATTCAAACAGGGTGAACCAGCACTATTGTTGGTCATTTTCTCAGAATATTTCTCCCACGAAATAGAAAAATCAGGGAATTTCTCAGGAAATGACGTTAAATATTTTTCCATTCAGAAAATAAATTACAGCAGGTGGACATGGACAATGGCGGGGCAAATCAAGATCCGCATATTTTTGAAATTTAACCATAGATATGTAAAAAAAATTGAATAGACAAAAGATTTTTAAATAAATATCGTTAGCTTTTAAAGATGGACCATACGGATTGATAATGCATCGTGAGTCTCGGTCTTGTTATGAAAACGAGTCAACGACAACTTTTTGGTTGAAAATGAGGATTGTTTCACACTATTACTAGATGCCCAAGCTGCGCCAAATTGAACCGAACCTCACGAAAAACACGTGACCTGTGGGTTATATGCCGATACGGTACCAATGTATACGAGCTTTAGAATAAGGTCTACAAATACACGAGAAAAGAATCAAATTGGGAGGATAGTAAAAAATTAAGAGTCAGAGAAATCTTTATGGAAACTAAACTTAGAAGTCCCGGAGCCGGGTCAAATTGACCCTACTATCTCTTCTGAAGAGTTACATGTGGCAGATAAAGGGGAGACAGTTAGAATACGCCAATATGTTATTACCAAAAACGATGAAATTTTAGGAAAATTATTATTTATCTTCAAAAACATTAATAACGTAGATAGTACTTCAAAAATTATCCAAATTAATGTATGTAAATGCGGGTCAATTTGACTTAACTTAGGACTCAGCGTATAAAAAAGTTTTGGACATCTAAGAGTTAAGTCATGACGTTTTCGTTAGACGTTCGTTAGACGAAGTCTTTTTGAATGTGCTATTTTGTATTGTCTCTCCGGATTCAGTCGTTAATTTACTCACTTACTTCACGCACATAAAAAGTACCCGTTATAGGCTTTACTATCAGCTTAAACAAAAGAATAGAGACATTACACACCTTTAAAACACGCTGCGGACATTTGTCCAAGGTTGATAGATCTGGAATTATCTTATCCCTGTGAAGCTCATAAGCAATTGGCCCCGGTGTGGTAGTTGATGCGTGTATCGAATGTGTTGATGTGCTTACGTATGCTGAGTGATCTTTAAAAGTTGTTTGTCTAGTTGTAGTGGCACCTTGTGCAAAATTTGAATAAAAATTACATCTCAATACAAATATCCCTGCGAGAATGAACTTCATGCTCCACGCATCTCCTGATAAGATTGAACACCTGTCAACATACATTTAGCATTCTTTTTGATTGATGACATGTTTTTGACAGAAGTGATTGACCGAGGACAAAAATTGCATTGTTCGATGCCGCGATCATTCTAACGCGAGTTCGAATAATCGCGCCGAACACGGTGCGGTCGGCGTCAATCTTATATCAGCGCCTGCAAGACTGCAGGAATACTTCATGTATTGCGCCAAACAGTGCGGTCGGCGTCAAGCGCATGTTAGCGCCTACAAGACCGCGTGAATACTTCTCGCATTGCACCAAACGTAATGCGAGAGTTTGTTGCGATAACTATGTGACTACGGGTATAGGCACACTGCTGCTAGCTGGATTGAAGGTCCATTACACTGTAAAGATGAACCGACAATTGAGACGAAACTCGACCGCACTCCTTTTTTTTTTTTTTTTTTTTTTTTTCTGCTGGTTTAATGGCTTCGTGTCTATAGCACCTTCAGCCAACACCGCACTCCTTTTCCTGACCTACGCGACGCTAAAATCGCCGCAAAACTAGGTCCACGCGTCATTTCTTTTGACTGTATCCCTGCCCGATTTTTACCCCAATTAAAGGGTCTCATCAAATCTTGATTGCAACGATTCAGAAAGTCGGACGATGTAAAAACAATGCAGCGATTCTGAAACTTGAATCACATAAAATTAATTTTGGTTTAATAAAAAGAAAATAGAACGAACGAAATTATCGCGTCGAAATTTGTTAGACTTAATTTTAAATCATTCCGGAAATTCGATCTCCGCTGAGGAAGGGATTGGTCGTTTTCGCACGGTTTACATGTTTTAAACGTTTTGCAGCTTTCATCTCAATTTTTTGTATCAATTTTTACATCACGTCGGGCTGCGTAGTCTATATAAATAAGAAGAGTGAGAATTGGCATAATGACATACATGAATTACTAACCTTTGAGAGCTGTAAGCCAAATGGAAATATGTGTACTGTGTTGATAATAAAATCAGGAAATTTTTTAAAATCTCAGGATTTTATTGTAGTTAACGAGATAGAATTTACAAAATTACGTACCAGACGTTTCTTATTTTCAACTGACACATATCTGAGACAAGTGATAGACACTAGACAAGAGTGGAAGATCACTCAGCGTACATAAGCACATCAACACGTACGATACAAATAAGATATTCGTAAGATCGTTCAAATAAGGCATTTAGAGCTTATGTCGAGGAAATACGTTGGTTATTTTTCGAACAAAAAATGTTTTTAACAGTTACAGTGAAGATATACACGCATTCTTTCAGTTTTTCGAAAATTTAGCGCTTGGTTAAAATTATATATCGTAATGAATGGAAATAAAGGAGATGTTTTACAACTTTAATAAATAGTGATAGTGATCGTTTTCAAAAATTCCGAATCTTGAGAATTTGATAACTAAGTATTTAATCTCCAATTTTGCATGCAATTTCAAAAATTTTAAAATAAATTTTGGCAGAGGAAATAAAACAGATTTTGCACTTCGCAAAGAAATAAGAATCAGATGTAAAAAAAAGGCGAGACTATACCTGAAAATAATTTGGGTGCCTTTAGTTTGATTAAACGGGATCCATTCTGGGAATGGGTGAGATTAAAAAAGAGCTGTCACTAATTCTTCACATCGTTGTCCTCATCTACTAAATCAGACCGATTACTTATGTTAGAAACGTGTCTCTCTTCTTCCTTATCTCCATTTTCTATCATCAACTCTCGTTCAGAGCACTGGAACCAAACCCGTTTACAGTCACGCCGCTTACTTCATCATTCTACCATAACATTCTATAGGATAAACACGCATCAATTTTTATTCAACGAATGCCATAATTATAATTATGCATTTTGGTTGATTTACCCCTTCCCCTCAAAACAAGTCATCTGACCATGCTTAATAGAATAGAAAAACATGAACAAGCGGTTCCTGCACGTAAAAAAAGTATCGGTTGCCTGTAAAGTAAGCCTGAAAAAAGTATTTTTTACTTTATACGACAAGAACGCGGAATGAAACTCAACGGTCAATTAATTCTTATCGTCAAAAACGCTCCTCTCTCTTCTCTCCGTCCATAATAACTTCAGTAGCTCTCGTAATGACGTACACTAATCTAAAAATTAGACCAAATTTTAAATCCAGCGCAAATGAAATACCAATCACCAACCTTCAAGTTGAATCAAAACTATGTTAATTAGGTGCTTATTTTGATAGTTCGTGATACCTTGTATTCTTTTATGCCGCACATTCAAAGGATAAACTCCATCCGAACATCAATATCGGTAAGTTCATATCTTAAGTTCTAAACATTTTATTCCGTTTATCTCCCCGAAAAAATTACAAGTAGAGAAAAGATAAAAGATGAAAGAGGGCTTGAAGAAAGAACCTTGTGTATTTAGTTCATTGAAATAGCAGATGCCTTTCGGTCCAGAGGAATTCGTATTTTCCGAGAAGGAAGAAATAATATCCACGGAAGAAGTTTTGATCTTGTCAAGATTATTTATTACATTTTTTTTCAGCGAACTAATTTCAAAGGGTGGAATGGTGGATATATGTCACTATCTTATTTATTTACTTGGAGCCGTTAGGGTCCCTTTAAATTCTAAATTTTGCAGACCAGTCAGAGAGCAGCAAAGCTTACCTGCACTGAACAGACTGCGATGGCAAAATACGGGGCGTAGGTACAGGTACTATAATTTTTTGTCCAAAAATGTTTGTAGAACTCTTTTTTCAGCTTGGTCGCTAACGACTTGATTTTAAATTTTTGTGGACAAAGGTCCCTTTTAATGAGGGAGATCATATCTTATATATAAGAATATATTAATCAGCATTTTGGTTTCATGGTAGTGTCTACACAGTCACAAAATGAAATATATGTAGAATAAGAGCTCAAAATATCTCATAAAAATGTTCTACCTTTTTCTGACAGGAATTCAATCCGGCTTGCAATCATGTCAGTGATGAATCTCATTCTCACAGCAGTATTTATACTCAAAAATAATTTTTATTTAATTATGGCCCACGGTGTCACCCTGGGTGGAAATACTATACAACACAAAATACACAAGAAAGGACTTACAACTTCTAAATACGAAACAACCACCATGATGGAGCCAATTGAGTATGAGCTTCATAGAGATAAAATAATTCCAGATCTCCCAACTTTGGATAAATGTCCGGAGCATCTCTTGAAAGTTCGTAAATTTTTATCTACGTCGTTTAATGTAACCGATAAGTTCCGTCTCTGTTTTCATGATTAAAAAGGGTATAGGGACACATATCGATGTGGTTGCTCTCCTGTGAATCTTCGGCTTGTACGGTCACATATCACGTTCGACAACTAATTGCATTTAATGTCACCTACCGTTTTCCAAAGCTCTAAACAGTTTTTTAGCATTTTTGTGGCATCGATTTTTATTAACAGAAAATTACATCTAGAATAAATACATCTTTAAATAATCGAAAGAAGAAATACTTAATTTGAAGTCAATAATTTCACGTGTTCTCCGCTTTTTCGCTTACTGAATTTGTGGCTCCTAATCTTGGGTCAAATCCTGGATTGGCGCATGGCGTAAAAAATTTAAACGAAGAAGGAAGATGAAAAAATGGAGACGAATGAAGATAATGCTATTGGAGAATATCCAAGTCTTGAAAATCATATTTTGATCTAAGAAAACGCATGTGTGCACACATCCTGTATGGTTTTATGTATAAAAGCATACAAGATATGGTGCATGAATCCGTTTTCTTCGATTGCAATTTTATCATTTGGAAAATATCTTGTTTAATTAATCTACCTTAATTTGTCCACTTTGCTTTTTTTTATTTTTTATTCTTAACTAATTTTACCGTGTTATACCCAGATTAAGAAACGGAATAAATCGAAGAGAATTTCTGCTCAGGAGTTCTCCGAAAAAGATCTTTCAATTCCATCGAAGGTCCTTTGTCCCCTTGACCTCCTGTGGGCTTCGTAGGAAAACCAATTTCAGAGCTATTGAACTGTGAAACTACATTGACTGTCCTTGCACATTTTTTGTCAATTTTCTCTTCAACAGGTGGTTTACGAAGATGAGTTTACCGTTTCTTTTGGAAATACTTTAAGGTCGGCTGTAGCTACTGTGGTTCCAGAAAAGGTGTCGTGGTGTAACGATGAGCCCAAACTCACATTCCACACAATTGTTTTTGTCGGTAAGTTTTGACCTTTTGTTGTTTTTCTGTGATTTTTGCCAAATTAAATGTTGATGCACCACCATTGCTCATTACATGTGTCATCGTTGAAGTTGCACTGAGTTTGAATGCTCGTTAATGAACGTACTTGCTATTTCGAGGTGGAGAAATGGTGCTGGGTCTACACCATTTCGCGGGGAAATCAAAGCCAAGAAGTTCCAAAAATTATTATTAGAGTCAAAAATAAATCATTTTAACTCTAATGAGTACCAGTACAAAACTAATGGGGGAGAGTATTCAGCTCAGGCAGTTTGCATTGGAATATTAAGTTGGAAGTTGGAGTCACGGCGAGAGATCTATACCGGTTTGGGTCTTTTTAGATCTCATCAGTTGATCACACTCGTCAGTGCACTCAACTTAACATGCCGCAAAATCCATTAAATTAAAACGCCATCATGGATAGACCCGAAAATGGCATGGAAATGGTGTGGACCCAGCATCATTTCTCCACCTTGTTACATACAGTATACGGCCCACTTCTTAGTGTTTTTTTTTTTTCCGCACTCGCTATTTCATATATATGCCAATGTTTCTAAAGTAAAAATTACAGGTATTTCCTTCTTAATGTATCAGCTACAATTGTATTAACTCTTAATCCTCATGCAGACCTTGATGTGATGTCACAAGAACAACCTATTGAGAGGGAGTGGCTACACTGGATTGTTGGTAACATCCCTGACGACAGGTTACAGTCCGGGCAGACAATAGCAGAGTACCTTGGACCAACACCAATGCATGGTAACGGTGAGTGAAAAATGCCCTATTAATTACATTGACGTAAGTGTTTTATCAGACCTCGTGTCATTTTTTTCACATTGAACGGTTTAAAAATGAATAAGGAACGGCAAATTTAATTTTGAAGGAGGGATGAATAGGACTTATGTACGCCCTAAGATTGAGAGTTCAGGGGGAACCACGTGTAAAATTTTTTTTTACTTGGTGGCCTTGGTGAAAAACAGTCAATAATTAAGAGCAATAATGACGAATGCGCTGTTTTTTATACCACATAGATAGTAAACATTATCATTTTTAAAGAAAATTTAACATTATTATTATTATATATATTTTCTATGAGTGAAGTTGTTGGTGTTCATTAAATTTTTTCACTAAATTTTGGGCCGTCTTGTGGACTCACTTTTTTGAATTTCATTATTAAATATCATAATGATATCTGGCGTAGCATCTAAAATTTGATTGTTGGCGGAAATAAAGTATAAAACATATGTAATGAGAATGGTTAAAAGTGTATGATAACAATTTTTAGGAGTCATCGCATCCTCGGTCCGTAATAAAAATCACCAATAAACTCACAAAAAGAAGATGGAATTGCAAAAAGTCTAGAAGATTTAACCAAATCTGAGATACCATTTAGTTTTGGAGGGATATAGAGAGAAAAAAAGCGCCTAAATTGTATTTTCAAATGTACATTTACTTCTGATCCCTGCTCCATAGCTTTCGTTCCCATATGTCCTAGAGAGGACAAGTGATTGGAAAGTATGTGACAAAAATAATCTTTTCTGATTTTCAGGGACTCATAGATATGTTTTCCAATTATTCATCCAAAAAAAAGGAAAAATACATTTTGATGAACGCCACCTAGTTGGTCCTACAAGGTAAATTAAACTTTGAATTCTTCATTCATAATAGAAACGAAAAATTAATATAAGAAGGAAAGGAGAAGAAAAAGAACCTTACACACCCTCACCACAAACGTTTAAGTATACGATTATACGTTCACAATCAAGCCTTTAGTGGATATGTTTCCTAAAGGTTTGATTATTGGACTTGTAGGGACTGCAATGTGGCGCAAGATCCATTACAAATCCAGTTTAATAAAATAAGTGAGGCGTTAGGATGAGAGCACTCCTTACATTTAAAATGCGCCTTTTCCACCCCTCCCGTCTAAATTTTCTCCTAGTTTTAGAGCCCCTTCGATTAAAATTTTTCGATTTTCGATTGGAAAATGCTCAGAAAAAAGTTGCTTCAATTCTAGTTGAAATCGCTCTCCTCAATAAATGTCTTCAAAAACTTCTTATTTAAGTTCTATCCGTTAAGGATTAAGGCTGGATGAAGAGCTTGAAAATTGCCTTCATTACTGTGAGATACTAAAATGTATACTTCCCTGCTAGTGCCACGGCCACAAGTTACGCGGCGATATGCACTGCGTCAGGCTTAAACAAGAACGAATCAGCGACTGGTGCAGGTAATGCAGCTTTCGTGAAGGAAAGTAATTCACTGACCTAGAGCGTCTCTAAACTTAAGAGTTCACCCCATTCCCGTCCATTTCCTTATTTTGGAGTTAATTCAATTATTGTTCAGAGAATTGGTTCCAAGAACTGATAAGACCGAAGTGGAAAAATTGACAGGATAATATTGAGAACGACAGATTGACCTTGATTGATGTCCATAAATTTATTACTCTGCAAATTGTTGCGTTACAATTTTGCAGAGGTTTTTTATAGGTCAGTTACAATGACTGAAAGATTACTCTCTGAGTGTTATATCTCCATTGATGAATTTTCAAGCTCGCGAAGTGATGAGTTAGAACAATATGTGAACGTGTTTCTGCCAAACGGAACTATGCGCATTAAGACATCATGAGCCCTGAGACCCATAAGACCATATGCATAAAAGGGCTCACGTCATAATGCACATAGTTCCGTTTGGCAGAAATACGTCCATGCGTATAACTTCGTTAACCAGGCTTTGCCTTTGCGCGTGGAATCAGTATTTGATACGCGCTGATTTGCCACTGAGAACCAACTTAGTATAACTTATCACGGAAATGCAATAAGGGTGAAGTGTTTCACATTGGATACAACAAAAGATTCCTTCGAAATTCGAATCTTCAATAAAATCGTAGTGTTGGTTGGTCAAATTTCGAGGAATATAAGCAAATTGTAATCCTAGTAAATTTTCTCCCCATAACAGGCCTTTGGACTTCCGAAGAGCTCAATTTTCATCGAGAGAATTTGCCAAGAAGTATGACCTGGGCCGACCTTATGCGGTGAACTACTTTTTGATCACGTGGCCAGAGGAGCCAGAATCTTACGAGGAGGATGAAAAGCCAATACCACCTCCACCTCTACCTACCAGAGATCATAACCTCAATTTCACCGATGAACACGAAAGTTAAAAGCGATACGCGTAAGACCGCTCCCGCGTTTTGACAGAAATTTAAATTCATTGATATCTGCTTCGGAGGGAAGGACCAAGGTCCCAGGAGGAGAAACTAGGTGGACAAGCATATGGATTTTGGAAGTTGCAGTTTTCTTTTCATGGATATATTACGGGTAGACCCCGTTTTCCGGGCAAATCTAGTCCTGCCCGGGCTCACCTGGGCGCAACTATGAGCATCCAATTTTTGCTGGGCTTATCTAGATCTCTGCCGTGCAACGTAAACACGCCGTAAACGCCATTTTACGTTTTTTGGAAACAATGTATCATCGTAGAAAAACTTGTGTACCTTATGGGTCAATATTTTTACAGAATTCTTTCGCAAATACTATCAAAAACATGGGGGAGGCTGCACTGGTTATTGGGACGGAATTCCAAGCTGTCCCTTGATAACAAAATTCTCCTGTACAAATGCATTTTAAGGCCCATTTGGAGTTATGCCTGCATGTTCTGGGGATGCGCTGCAGACAGTAATATCAAACGGACCCAGACTTTCCAGAATGTGACTCTGAGACTGATGGTTAATGCCGAGTAGTATATCAAAAACTCTGATAGGACTTAAGGAATTAAGCATAGTGTCAGTGAAGAATCACATTCGATATCTGACGGAAAACTATGAACGCCGCTTGGGTTTGCATCCTTATAAAGAGGCCATATTCCTCCTCGATAGCTCCAACCTACTTCGCAGGCTCATGACCTGATTTCCGATTTTGTATATGACTAATTTAGTCAATTTTCTCTATAAGAATTAGTAACTCATTTAGTGAACTAAAAAGACATATTTCTGTGTATACACGGTTTATTTACCTAATCTCATTGTATGTACAGTATCTAATTTTGTCTAATTTTAAGTGATTAGGCAATTGTCTTTGTAGAGAGTTAGCTATATTTTTTTAAGATTACTTTAAGTTCTTCTCATGTTTTCATCTTCTTCACCTCTTACTCACTCTTATCATTAGTAGTTATGTATCAGAACTATTTAACTAAATAACGATTCATTTCAATGTTGCCAAATTTCTCATCTCAAATTGCATTGAGTAGGAGATTCTGCGACATTTCTGACAGAGAATATCACTGATTTTTGCTCAGATTTTATGCAAACATCCGAAAATTGTTGATAAAAATTGCACAAGTGCAACTTTGTAAAATAAAGTAACTGTTTGAGTCTATTAGTGTTGCAGTGCTTTCTAATTTCATTTATTCATTGGTCTAATATTATTTATTGTAATTATATTTATACAGATACATGACACCATCATGAAAAGTGTCTTGCTCTATGATAGTGAAGTGGGGCCTTTGACCAGGCGAATACGCAAGAAGTAATGAGGGCGACTGAAATAGATTTTTGGCGGCGATCTTTCGGCCTCCGTGTCCGTAATGACATAGTTCGCCAGGTGAAGGTTAAAAGAAATATCGTGCATGACGTCATGCACAGTAACCATTAATTGCGTATTCTTAAATTCAGTCTAACTCGTGATATTTTGTATAAACTTGGAAAATCCTCATACTCATACTTTCACATTTTATTCTAATCTCTGTTCCTTCTTGATGTTATATCAATGCCATAACAGATAAGTCGTGTACGTAACTTACTTATTTTGATTCCTCTTCCAAAAGCAGGTTTGTGAAAATAATCTAATAGTTTGTTGCTTGAGACATTCTGGATCGTAGGACACTTTATGCTGTCACCAGTAAATTTAACAAGAGCATTTATAAAGGTATAATAATTAACGATTATACGTCATCATATCATCATATCATCATCATATCATATCATCATCATCATATCACCATGTATAATTCCGTAAGCCTTTCCTTTGCGTCAAAATTCAGCGCGAACCGCCGGGCCGATCCGTGCGCGGGTGGTACCGGCTCGACCGTCCCGGTCCCCCGACGGCGGGAAAAATCAAGAGTGGCGGTAGCCACCCCCGGTCGAGGAAAATGACGTCCTACTAAAGTCCCGATTACAAACGGGTGGCCGACACTCTTAGTCACAGGCAACTCCCTTAACTTGAAAATTGATTCGGTTGGAACTCGACTGCAGCCCAAACGACGGCACGGATTCCTACGATCTTGGTGTCTACGGACGCATCTCAATTAGGACTACAAAGTGGAAAATTTTCATTAAGATCCATTGAGTTTTCAAAAAGTTATAAGCACTTAATGACCCAAAACAAGGAAAATTTTACTTTTTACTTTGCCGGGAAATTTGAATTTCAAGAATCCAGGGTCCTGAGAAAGTCACTCAAACTCCGCGATAA